GGGAAAGAGCGTGGCTCAGTCTCCTTCAATGAGCACTGGACAAACACACAGTGCTCGGTGCTGAGACAGGGTGGGGGACGGGGCAGACCGGACTCCTGTGCAAGTGACACTCTCCTGGGGGAGAAAGACCATGGCCAGGTACGGGATACTTCAGCCAGGCATGGAACCACCTTACCATGGGGAAAATAAACTAGCCTATGCGACAGAGAGGAGTAGGTGGCACTAGCCAGAGGATGATCAAAAACAGACACTTGGGGCCAGCAGGTGGCGTGGTGGTTAAGGTGCTGGACACTGCCATGTGGCCGACCATGGTTTAAGACCTGGACCTGGTGGCTTGCTTTCTTACTTTCTCTCTCTCTCTGTTTCTTTGTGTTTCTCTGGTCAAATTAAAATAAAATGAATAAATAACAAATTGAATAAATAATTATTTAAAAAAAAAAAAAGGACACTCAAGCAGCCAGTGGGCACGAGTCTCACCAAGATCCAGACAGAACAACCAATGTGAAGGTCTATGGCAGGGAGGAGCTCAGTGATTTAGAACTGTGGGCCTCAAAATGTGGCCCCAGAAACGGCGTTTTCATGAAATGTAAGAGCTCATTCTCTTTCTCCATTCCTTCACCCATGAGTGTACGGAGGCATTTTCTAGAAGCCACATAATGTACGCTATCACAACAGACGGAAAGCAGAGACAGCGGAGAGTCCAGCTGCCTCTTGTTCTGCCAGAGATGAAAGAGAGCCGCAAAATACAAAACATTAATATTTTTGTTTTGAAAAACAGAACTATTGCTCATAGGAAACTATGCTACTTAACTTTATATGCAATGACTTTATTAAATACGTATGTAAATATTAAAAGCATTTCTTAGTTTTACTTTCTTTGTAAGCATGTGTGCGCACACACATGTGGTATTATTTTTCAACAGGGTCTCCCCACGTCAAGGTCCTCCTGCCCCGGTCCCCCGAGTAGCTGGGACCACAGGTGCACAGCACATGCCCTGTTCCTAGGGTGGGCTGGAGTCAAAAAGGCCTCCCACGTGGCCCGCCCTGCTGAGCAGCAGTGTTCCGTGCATGGTACCATGGTTGGGCCCTCAGCTTTAATTTCTTTTTTTTAAAGAGAGATTTTTGCTACAGGGAGCGTGCACTTGTTAATGAGAGACAGAGAGACAGAAAGCAAGAAATCACCCCCCAGGGAGGACAGCTACGCTACAATCCCTTCTCCTCTATTTTCTTCTTGGGTCTTGGGTACGCACACACATGTGCTCGGCATGAATTTAAGCAACCAGGTCTGGGACTTGAACTGCAGTTAACTACATGGGAGTCCATAAACATAACCATTATGCCATCTGCTGGTCCCTCTCAGCTTTAATTTCTAATGCCATCAATATTGACAGAGAATCCATATACCGTTCTTTGGGTTCCTCGGTACTGTGTAAGAGCTCTCGGGGTCCCAAGACCACAGTCTTGAGCAGTGCTGACTTAGAGGAGCATCAAGGGCGACTGTGGTGGGTGGAGGCGGGGATGGAATGGGCGTGGGTGGGGCTTGGTCTGAGAATCACTCCAAATCAGGGGGAGAGATGTGGATGTTGTTCTATGCGCAATGGGAGGCAGCCAGAAGGTTGCAGGCAGGGGCATGACACAACTGATTTATGTTCAGGAAAGATCCCACTGTCTGAATGGGAGAGAGAGGATGAAACAGGAAGTAGGGACATTGAGGAGGCAGCTTCTGTGATCTTAGAAGAGACAGGGGAGGGGAGAAAAGGCGGGGTATTTTCTTCAGGTAGAGCAGGCCAGTGGTGTGGGAGAGGAGAGAAGAATTCAGGATGATTCTGGTGCTGACTGGCCCTGCCATGTGGTCCCTGACCACTGAGAGGGCAGATGGTGCCGGGTGGGCGGCACGGCCTCCTGCCCCACTCCTATTCCTCTGACTCACACTGAGACTCAGGGATGTCCACCTGGTCTTCTGGGCATAGCTCTAGTGCAAGGGAGGCCTCTGTCCCAGTGTTCCTCCCTGACTCCCTGCCCCTGAGTGGCACTTCCAGGAGCAGCCAGGGTAGGAGACCTGACCAAGGGCTGGATGGCCACCTTCAGTCTCACTCACCCTGGTCCAGCACTGGGCATTCCAGTTGTGCCAGCCAGCCCTTCCAGGCAGGCCCAGGCCACTGGAGAGGCTGTACCATCAGCATCGGATGACCTGACAGCTCCCTAGATGCCCAGGCATGGTGGGAGAGGGAAGTGCTACATCACCGTGATGCATTCTGCAAACAGATCAACTGTGTGGATGCTGAAGAATGCGACCATGACTTGATTCATTTATTGACTCTCTGCCTTGCTCCAGAGGACTGGCACAGAGATGAGACCTGGGCTATTCTCCTTACCCTGCAAGTTCTTGAACTGCGAGAGGCCCCAGTGACCACATGGGAACAGCTTCCTACCGGGCAATCTGTATTTAGTTAAGACTCGTGGACGTAATCTACACATACTTAGCAGCCAGTGCTGTAGAACATGAAGCAACCTGGAGAACTTTTGAACAAAGAACCCTCCACACCCAGGAGAGGGACTCATCTAGTATTTCAGAGCTGGAAACAGGTGCTCCAATCAGTCTCACAGTCCTTCAAACCAAAGATTGAGGAATGAAAATGGTAAGCCGGGCGTGGCAGAGGGAACTGGTGTGCTTTTTTCTAGAGCGCACGCTGGAACTATGTATGTTGATATTAAAAACCTTTCCTTCGACTTCACAGAAACACTACTGGGATCTATCCCACAGACAGGAGATTTGCACAATCACAGACACCCCACAGATGTGCACTGTGACACCGTTAGAGGAAAACACTGGGAGTGACCCAAACATCCATCGGTACAAACTGGTGACCAAGTATTTTGGGTCTGCTCATACAATAAAGTGAAAGAGCCATGACAGAGTTGATTTATGTATTGCAAAGGTGCAACACTGCCTTCTCATACAGCGAGAAGAGGCCAAATGCAGAATCGCCTTCCAGCATAGCACCCTTATCCCAAATGCTCACACACGAAATCCACTTCCGTTCCACACACATCCGATACACAGGTGTGTATGTAGGAGGTGATTCTATGTTAAGACTTTTGCATTTGGCATTTTGACTCTGGCCCGTCCCAAGGTCAGGTGTGGGATTTTTCACTTGCAGCACTCAAAAAGTTTCAGGTTTTGGAGTTTCACATTTAGGATGTCCAATTTATATAATCCTACATGTAAAAAGAAAAATGCAAAAACATACATATGACACGTAAACATTTCTGGAAGGATCTGCAAGAAGGTGTTAATGGTGGTTACTTCTGGCGCAAAGTAGATTTTTTTTTTTTTGAGAGGTTTTTGCTATAGGGCGTGTGCGCTCGCCAGACAGACAGAGACATAGAGACAGAAAGCGAGAAATCACCCCCCAGGGGGGATGGTCATGCCGCAGTCCCTTCTCCTCCATTCTCCTCTCGGGATCTTGGGCACACACGCACAAGTGCCCGGTGTGAGTTCTAAGCCACTGGGTCCAGGACATGAACCGCAGTCGACCACGTGGGAATCCAGCGACATAGTCATTAAGCTAACTGCTGGTTCCCCTATTTTTCATTTTATTGTATCTTGTTCAGTTTTTTAAAAATCACATGCCTATAGTTTATATATATCATATTTAAAAAATTAATCAAATCAAAGAATGGAAAATAGAATAAGTCACGTGGGTGGGGGGAAACAAGGATTGGGGGCAGGTTCTTATGATTGCACTTTGTCCTTAAATCAATAACCACTTTTGAAACATTTCACAACACTTACAGTATAACTTGGAAATCCAAAAAGAGGAGGGATTAAGTTGTGTGTGTGTATGTGTGTGTGTGTGTGTGTGTGTGTATGTGTGTGTGTGGTGGTGGTGGGGGGGGGTTGGCCAGTTTTCTATAGTCCTGTAATCATGAGAAAAGTTCTCTTTCAAAGGATCAGGGATGGGGTGCATGTGGATTTACTTAGAGTAGGCGTGTCAAAACAGGAAGGGGAGAGACTGGTCTTCTGGAGAAGGTTCTTTCTGCCTGCCCAAATGACCTTGAACTTTCCATTCAAGTTTCTCCCGTGGGGGAAGGGGAAGAGGGTCAGAGATGAGCTCCAGCGAAAGTGGGAAGAGTCGCTCCCAGATGGAAGATGTGGACGGCCACCACGTGGGCAGCAGGGCCTTCTTCTGAAGTCTCACTTCTTCAGGGGGTTGTAACAGAAACCATACACGCTATCTTTTTCTAGTCATCTTATAAGGAGAAGGAAATTATTCTCCCACAACCCCGTTACTAACAAATTAAGTATTTCCAAGAAATTTCCAAGAAATTTCTTAGTCTTAATTCTAAGAAGTCCTTCCACATACTCAACAAATCTCTGGAAAACCAAACCAAGGCAGCAGAACTCCAAAGGGAAAGCCAAGATTTATTTCTGGGGCTTGTGTTTAATCTTGTGCTATGCTTTGATAAATTCTAAGCAGCTGGTGATTCGAATCGACCGGGTTGCTGAGAGAAGAAGTTGTCATTTACACAGCCTCGGCAGGAGGAAGCCCTGAACCCTCATCAGAGGGGATGAGCCACGGCGCAGGAAGGGGCCGGCTTACCTGGTACCTTGTCCACAGATGCGAACACGGAGCGCTGCACCGTGGGGTCACTGCTGCCTCGGCGGCCCTGGTCATAGAAGCGGAAAGGCAGGTGCTGGGTGGAAGTGGAGGAGCCGAGTCCAAATCCCAGGACTTCAGTTGCTGGCTGGATCGGGAGGTCCAGGAGGGCTACAGTCAAACAGCATCACGGTTCATTCTCAACACGCGGGAAAAGGCCAGGTGACAAGACTGTGAAGTGGGGCTGTGGTGGCTGTGACCCTGCCAGGCATATCAGTGGGGAGATGCCCTGCAGACAGCTTTGGCTGTGGAGCCAGTACAACACCAGAGAGCCAGCTCAGGTTCAAAATGCACCTGGGTGGCCCAGCCCAGGAGGTGCAGTCCATAGCATGCTGCCTAATGTTAGAAGCCACGTGGCTGACGATGGTGCGGGTCACAGGGTCAACATGAAGACACACCGAGCATGTGTATGGATACCCAAGATCCTGAACAGTTAGAGGGATGGGGAACAGGGACAGAGACATGATAAGGCCCTATCAAAGATGCTTTCTCTCACTGCAATGCATGTGCGTGTGCGTGAGCATAGGCACAACTGTGCTCTCTGTCATAAAAACAAACAAAACCACAACTTCGTGTCTAGCAAGAGGGTCAGGCCAAGGCTGAGACCAAGGAGAAAGAGGTTCTAGGCCTGGAACCCTAGGAACAGATGCTGGCCTAGTCTCCACCTCAGATGTTCGGCTTTGTATGGAGAAGACCCTCAGCAAGGCTTACCTTCCAGTGCTGGTTCAGACCCTAAGGCATGCGAGCCCAACCCTGCCCTGGAAGCTCATAGACAGTAGTAGCACAGGGGGAGGAGCGTGTGCGTACGTGTGTATTTATGAGCATGTGTTTATCCTTCATAGCTGCTATTCTCCCCGCCATAAACAAATCTCATGATATATCACTTCGGAGAGGCTTTTTAAAATCAATTTAAGAAATACCCAAGGCGTTAGTTCTAACAGCCACTTTACAGCATAATTCTCAATTTTCAAATGAAATATTTGGCCTTCATGCCAGCCAGCTGTGAGAAACTGCTTTACATTAAAGAAAAAAAAACCCTCTGAAATAAATCTTCCAAGAATGGGCTGAATGATTTAAGTCACTTTGCACATTACAAAATGCTTCTGTAATGATTTTGCAGGCCAAGTTTCAGCTAAATGAGAAGTAGGGTGGGGAGGCCTATTTGGGATGCAGGCCTGGGTGCACCAACGAGGCAGGTCTAATATGTAACTGGGTCTGCACTGCCCAGCAGCCAGCCCTCGGGCTGTCTATGTTTCGGTGACCTTTTGAGAAAGCCCCCCTCCTCCAGGGGACTGGGAAGCCCCTCAGAAGCACATCAGAACCAGAGGAGCCTGGAAGCAAAGGCACTGGGTATCTTGAGATCTGATTGTTTATCATCTGAGGAGGCCGTCTCTGCAAGAATACCATGCCTTTTTTTCTTTTTCTTTTTTTTAAGGTTTTGCCATGATGTGTGTACACCTGCCGGAGAGAGACAGTGAGGGAGAAGGTGGGAAATCACCCCCGGGGGAGGGCTACATCACAATCCCTTCTCCTCCATTCTTTTCCTGGGATTTTGGGCATGCATACACACATGCCTGGCGTGATTTTCAAGCCACTGTGTGTGGGACTGGAACTGTGATTGTCCACTCTGGAAATCCAGCACCTCAACCACTACAGCAGCTGCTGACCTGACACTGCCTTTTGCTGGATGAGCAGGAACCCTCGTTTCAGTGCCTTTACTTCTAAGAAAGCGTGAGCCTTCCTAACCACAGGCAGTACTGGGCTTCCTCCCAAAGCCACTGCAATGGCTGTGAAACGGGAGACTTTCGCATTTAGCCCTGGTCAAGGCCCTTCACGGAGCAGAGCTGTCTCTCAGGAGAGCTGGAAAGGGGGTGCAGAAACCTGAGGAACCAACTTGCTAGCTGTGTGACTCTGGGCAAGTTGCCAAGCCTCAGTTTTGTCCTCTATAAAACGGGTAGCATAGGCCTGACAGATTTCAGGGACTGGTTTAAAAACGTCTGAATATTCATAATAGAGCACATGCGTGTATGTGAGTGAGAGAGAGGGGGAGGGAGGGAGGGCAGGTGAGAGAAGCACCCATCACAGGGCTGGGTCATGCCACAACCCCCTCCCCCAGCCTGCCAGCGTCCTGGGCACACGCGTCTGGCATGTTCCCAGGCCAACTGGGCCGGGGACTCGAACCTCAGCTGGCAGGTGGCTTTTAGCTCTGTAGTCCAGTACTACTGCCCGTGTCACAGAAGCTGGGCCAAGGGCTGTTTTAAGGATCAAAGATGGAAGAGGAATGCTGAGACACTGTAGCTGTAGGCTCGAGAACTGCAGGCTGGAAGAATGAGAACTGCTCTTCCCACTGACATCTGCCTGTTCCTAGCCTCTTGCCTGTGTGTGTGTGTGTGGGGGGTGGCTCCCTTTCTCTTCTGAGTAACCCTAAAGATTCTGCAGAAACCAAACACTTAGGAAGCAGGGAAATTCAGAACAGATTTTCCACTCTCTCATAAATCAAAGTAAATTCCCGAGCCCTCAGTGTCCTGGAGAGAAACAGTGAGGCCCTCGAGGTCAGCGAGAGAATCATACCTGTGGCGGCTGTCTCCCTCTGTCCCCAGCGCCCAGAGTGCACCTGCCCGGGCCCACCACTCACCCGCTATCCTCTGCATCTTCATGCGCCTCGCCTGGATGCGGCCCTTGGCCAGGCGCTGCTTGGCGATGATGCAGCGGATGTGGTCCGAGAAGACGAAGGTGGCCTGCAGGATGGGGAAGGGCTTGGAGTGGGGGCTGGACGCGGGCTTGTGGATGGTGATATTCAAGGCACGGCTGTCGTCCTCCACACCAGTCACTTGCATGTCCTGCACAATGAGGAAGCAAAGGAGGGGTGGAGGTCAGGTTCCAGAGGGCAGCTGCTCAGGAGCTGTGGGACCTGTGTTTCATCTAGGGAGGGGCCACCAAGTCCACTGAGCTTTGGCTATAAAGAGGCCACCAGCTTCCCGGGCCTAACAGAGTCAAGGGTGGGCACAGGCTTGACCCGAGGTGGGAGGAGACAGGGTGGAGGCACAGGCCAATGCAGTGGAGCCCATGCTGGCTAGGCCAAGCCAGTCACTGAATACAAGGGTGCACACACCAGCCTCTTCAAGGGGCCACAGGTAACTCACGGGCAAACTCCAGCCAGTCCTACCTCCAAGGAACCAGAAATGACAACCCCGAATCCCTCTCGCCATCTGGCATGAACTTAGTCACTCATACACTAACCCATTTCTTCCTTAGTTCTCTTACATAGGAGGCAATGTTTGCATCTATTTGTGAGTCTTTGAGGAACTTCTGGTCCCAGAAGGAGAAGGCTAACCCTGAGATAGGGGTGGGGAAGGTAGGGATTTGGAGAACGCTCTGAGTCCGAGGTGGAGGTGCAACTATGTACACCAGCAAGCACAGCAAGGCTGGATCCAAACTCGAAGCTCAGAGCAGAGAATCTGCTTCCCATTAGGGCTTGAAGTGGTTTGAGATAAAAGCACGAGGCAGGAGGCAGACACAAAAGCCAGGCTCATGAAGTGAGAGGGGTGCTGTTCTGGGGCAGGACACCCAGCTCAGGCTCTCTGGAACCAGTCCTGGCCTCAGAATGCGGCAGCGCGGGCAAGATGAGGCGTCACCGTCGAGAGCAGGGAGCGAGGCGCGGGGCAGCTGCCTGACAGATGGCAGCTACTGGAAAGCGACCAAATAACAGGTGTATGTGGCTTTCACTGTCTGATGGAGGACCAGTGTTACACTTTCAGGGGAAAAACACTTTCCTGGCACTGAATTCTAAAGGAAATCGATCATGAGCCTAGATAAATGAGACGCACAAGTCACCTAAAGGACAATGCCTCACCTGGAAGGCTTAAGTAAAAGAGTCTCCTGCAATTGTTACCACACCACTGTCTCAAAAGATATTTTTAAAATAGATTCTGAGAAAGAGGAAGTTGGGGAAGATGCCGCAGTAACATCACCAATCCGCGGAGGTTCTCGGAGAGTGGGACACAGCCAGCAGGTCTCCTTGTGACGAGACCGAGCAGTCAGCCTGGGTGAGGCCTTTCAGAGAGCAGG